GCGGCGGCCCCGACGGCGCGAGCGAGGGCAGCACCGGGAATCCCGGGAGGGTGGCCGGCGGGTCCATGTCGTCGCTCACGCCGGTCAAGGGGTGGCCGCAGCCCCTGCCCGCGCTAGGAGAGAGCCGGGGCTGCGGACCCGCCTTATATATACATATGGACAGATTCCCCCGCTCCTCCGGGGAGAGGGCAGCGACTTTCCCGGCCGGCCAGAGCCCCCCCTTCTGGGCTCAACCCCCCTCCTCCATTTCTCCCACCCCTTTGGGTCATTTTCTCCCCCCCCCTTCCCCTACCCCAGACCCCGCCTCATCTCTTCCCATCTCCACTGGGTCGGTCCCAGACCCTGGCCTCATCCCACAGTCTTTGATCAGACCCTTCCCTTCCTGCCCCTCCTTTTACCCCCTCCCCTTGGGTCAATCCCAAATCCACCCATTCAGCACACTCTCTGGCCCTCTCCCCATTTTGCTCCTCCCAGCAATCGGACCCCTCCATCCTCCTCCCTGTCCTTCCATTCTTCATCTGGATCAGAGATGAGAGGCGACTTTCTTGCCTGCCCTTAGGGCTCTGTGTGGCTAGTCAATGAGGCCATCAGACCGCCATTGAACAATATGGAACCAGAGACAAGATAATTGAGAAAGGCAGAGGCTAGAGGGACTTTGTTTCCTGGGAGGATATGTGAAGACCCCCCCCCAGATTAGAATAATTAATATCTCCTTTCTCTGCTGCCTCCCCCACATCCTTCTCTCTAGGCTGTGCTAGCAAAAAGTGGCTGCCCCACTGCTTTGAATGAAGAGTCCCCCCAACACGCACCCAAGCACAAACAGCTCTGAGAGTCTCCCAAGTTGCAAGGAACAGTTACCAGGTGGGAGAGAGACACCCCCCTTTTCCCATCAGCCCAAGTGCTTCCATAGACAGAGGGTCTGAACTCTGCTTTCTGATCCACAGATCCAACACTCCCATCTCACTGAAAGCAGAGGGCCTAGGCAGTTTTTGTTAGAAGCTTGGGAAAACACCACCCCCATGGAAAGAAACCAAAGACTGAAGGAGACCCGTGTTAAAGCCACTTGTCCTGCAGACAGGCAAGATCAAAGAACTTGGACATAAGCAAGGCTGGGAGTATAGAGAAGGAAGAGAAAGCTAAATTTAAGGGGTACCACTCAGTGTCTTGATCAGCCCTTTTGAGGGCCTACTGAAATTTGAGGTCTCAGCCCACCAGAGTCTGATAAGATTTGTCTTTCTTCCCTACACATAAGCAGAGCTTAGCTTCAGCTAGCCTAGAACATCAGCATTGAAACTCGAAGTCTAAAGCACAAGGCCCCTCTCTCTTAGGTCCACTCATAACTGGTAACACAGCCATTACTGTATTTTGTATTTGGTAAACATTTTTTAATACATTATTTTGCTTAAATTTGAGTACCTTGTGGAATGTTGTTATCCTCAATTCGTGAGTGAGGGAATGAACATTGAGAGGCTTAATGGTTTGCCTAACCTCACACAGACAATAGTGACAGAGCACCACCGCTCTTCCAGCACCATCCTTCACAGTGGAGACTTTCATTAACACAGTGGTTCACACCTATAATCCCTGTACTGAAAGCATGAGGATTGTAAGTCTGAGGTCAGCTTAGTCTACATAGTGAGTCTCTGTTTCAAAAATAAAGTGGAGCTGGTCACTGATGGTTCATGCCTGTAATCCTAGCTACTCAGGAGGCTCAGATTTGAGAATCATGGTTCAAAGCCAGCCTGGGCAGGAACATCCATGAGTCTCTTATCTCCAATTAACCACCAGAAAACCAGAAGTGGTACTGTGGCTCAAGTGGTAGACTTCTAGCCTTGAGCTGAAGAGCTCAGAGTCAGCCCCCAGACCCAGAGTTCAAGACCCACAAGTGGAGGTTTTTAGAAATAAATTAGAGTTTCTCCTACTCTTCTGCCACTTCACTTGCCAAAGTGAATACCTGGTTTCTCTGAGGAGTCAGACCTTTTGCTGCCTTCATTGTGGTAAGCAGACAGTGGCCCTATATGATCTGCCTGGTGAGCAGATCCAGGTGCTTAGTGGACATCCCTACATAGATGAGGTTTGTGGCATCTCAAACCCAGAGCTACTCAATGAAATGTCCTAAGTACTCTCTGCCCCAGCCTGCTTTCCTATCAGCATTCCAGATCCCTTTTCCCTTCTGGCTCAGTCTCCATATCTAGGCCTCTGCCAGATTTTGTCAGTGCTTGCTTGAATCCCACAGCCAATCCTCCTTTAATTCTCCCAGCCTCAGTTCAGCCTGTATTGTTCACCCAGTACTTCTAGCCAGGCCCTTTGAGGGTGCTTAGGGAAAGACAGAGACAATGAGAGATTGACAGTAAGCCTGGTGAGGGGTAGAAGGAAAAGATAACACTTTCAGATCTAGAGTCTGTGGCCCATTGCCAACAACAAAGAATAAACAAGTGTATGCCGGACAGACCCTGTCTTAGTACCCTCTCCCACCCCCTTTACCATGCAGCCCACTGCCCAAGCACAGGTCACTGGGGCACAGGACAGTGCAATCCCAGTGAGCAACACTCTCCAAAGAAAAGGGCAAGACAACACCCGCAGCAGCAGGGGATCTAATTTCATCAGTGGGGTGTCCAAAGCCAAGTATTATCTGAACCTCAGTTTCCTCACCTGCCAAATAACAGGCCCTTAGTAAAGCAGTGCTCTTCCCCTTCCTGTATACATCATTTCCAGTATTAACCAGGAAGACAAGGAGAGAGTGAAGCAGGACATCTTTTCAGTCAAATGACTGATTGAACCTCAGTTACCCTCCTTTCCTACATTCTCTTAGAGATGGAGCTCCTCCAAAGAAGGCCCCTACCACAGCCTCCACCACTTGAGGAGTAAGGCATTTGGAGGGGGCAGGGGGAGGCAAATTGGCTCTTACTATCTCCAACAACCAAATGCAACTTTGTTGTGCTTTCAATTTTCCAATCCATGTGTATAGCCTGGGACATAGTACATGTTCAATAAATGATCCTGAACGTGCTGTTGGCTATGCCAATCCTGAGTAGAGTGGTGACAGGGAGCTTGGCCCAAAGAATGAGAACCCAGACATTTCCAGTTCTTTGTGCCTGTCTGGCCCCCGCCCCCCAAAATTGGGCCTGCTTCCCAGAGCAGAGCAGGCCAGTGTCAGGGGGCGGCCCAAGGGCTAATCCGTGTTTTCAGCGTGGCTGGGCCCTCTTTTCACAGGCCCTGGGCCGGACGTGATGCGGCTGAGCATCCGGGCATAAGACGGCCAGTGAAGGCGGCCCCTTTCTCATGGGCCTGGATTCCAGGCGGCCCAGCGTCTGAGTGGAGCCCCTGGGGCGGGAGGAACACAGTGGCTGGGCTGGGCAGTCCTTTGTCTGACCACACTGGGTGGATATTTGGGCTGGCAGGAGGGATTAATGGCCAGGGATTGGCCCTGGGGCCGGCCTTCCCACTGCCCTTTGGAGGCCAAAGGCCCAGGTCAGGGCACATAGCCTTGATGGCTCTCTAGATAGAGTGGAAATTCCCACCCTTGTCTAAAGCTATTTGTACCAGCTCCAAGACCCCCTACCCCCAGCCTCAGCTCTGCAGAGAGAGGCATCACTTGCCCAGATAGACTTGGAGGCAAGGAGCAGAGAGTGGGGCCAGAATTTACTGAGGAGAGAAAGCTAGGGCTGAAAGTCATTTCAGTCCTGGAAGGGCCCATGGTTGCCCCTCCAGAGCTCTGGAGAAAAAGAGCTTTCTGTTAACCCAATGAAAATCCAATGGGCCAGCATGTCCTCAGACCTTTTAAGTCTTCCCGGACTATTCCCTCAAAGACATCTACTTTGAGAACATCCATTATTTCTAAAAACTCTCCATTACAGCATGGAAGACTCCCTTAGCAGTAATACAAGAGGCTCAGGAACCACAAGAAATCCTAGATACATACACTCAACACTATCTTTGGTCAACCAAAGCCCCTGATGACTCCTGAGGGGCTTTTCCCCTTTTAGTCCCCAAATGAGAATTACCCAGGATACCATTTGTTTCCTCAAGAGCCTAAGGTAGGCAGTTCTGAACTGTCTGGGGGCTATAGGGCAGCTTGCTGTGGTGAGTCCCTTTCTGGCCAGGTTCTTCTTACAGTAGGGCTGAGAACAGCAGCCCAGGCTTGCCCACCTGAGCAAGCTCAGGCTAGGCGGCAGCAGTTTAGACCTGCCTGATGACAAAAGCCTAGGAGTGCCCTTCTCTGTGATTCTTCACTTCTTAGGCTCTTTCATTCAGCAAAGTCCAAGGAAGTATGTCAAAGCAGTCTGGATTCTGGATGGTAGTAAGGAGTCAGACCTTTTGCTGCCTTCATTATGTGAAGCAGACAGTCACCATATATGTGGTTAGCATAAGATGTGAGGGGAATTGGAACCTCACCCAGCCTAGCCAAGTCAGAAGGGCTTCCTGGGAGGGGTGAGTCTCCAGATAGCTAGGTAGAGAAAGACCCTAGGGCACTCATCCTCTGGGCCAAATAATATCCATCACTCCACTTACTTCTTGTCCCTCGCTGTCTCCCCACCAGTAGATTGTGTGTACACTGAGGTCACATCCATGTTCACTCACCTTTGGGTCCACAACATTTAGTATAGGGTCTGGTAAGAGTCCATGATGGACGGATATGTGTCAGATGGCTAAAGGATGGCTGGATTCTAAGTTGAGAAAACCATGTGTACAAAGTCTGAAGGCAAGAGCAAGTAGTTCATCCTGGAAAGGGAGAGACTTGGTGTTTGAGAATTGTTAAGAGCTAACATGTGAAGTTCGTTTTTTTGTTTGTTTGTTTGTTTGTTTGTTTTGGGGGGGTCCGGTCATGGGGTCTGAACTCTGGGCCTGACCACTGTCCCTCAGCTCTTTAGCTCAAGGCTCGCGTTCTACCACTTGAGCCACAGTGCCTCTTCCAGCTTTTTTCTTTTTGCTTATGTGGTGCTGAGGAATCGAACCCAGGGCCTCATGCATGCAAAGCAAGCGCTCTACCACTGAGCCACCTTCCCAGCCCACGTGTGAAGTTCTTAAAGCCTTGCCTGTAGCTGTTACTATCCACTGTGACTGATG